TGAACCGTGCGGCTTTAAAACAGGTAAAACCCGGAACCGTTCCAGAACCGTATAGAACCGTTTCAAATAGTTCTGGGAAAACAGAGATCCTGCAACCGTTCAGAACCGTTCTGTAATTATCTATATATGATAGAATTTTAATTTGATTTTTCTTATCTTATCTTATCTTATTTTATTTTACTTTATCCTTTTTTATCTTGCATTATTTTATCTTATCTTATCTTAACATGTTTACTTTACCTTATTAATGAATGTGTGGTATGGTATTATATTGTGCAGTGTGGTTATGGCATAAATATCTTTTATTCAGTTTTTTGTTCTTATATAATTATATCATATCATATCAAATCAAATCAAATCATATATTCACTATAATATTAATGTTATTATATTATATTTTCATCCTACTTTATTTCATTATAATATTTATCACTATATTAGTTTTTTATATTTGACTATATTTTATTATATTTTGCGGTATTTTTATTATACTTTATTATAGTTTTCTATATTTTTTATTTTTCTCATATTTTTCAATGTTTTGTTATATTCTTTTGTAGTTAGTTAGAGTCTAGTTTAAAAGTTTTAGTCATAGTCATAGTCGTTTTAGTTTTAGCATACTTAGACTTATAAAACTTATGCACCATATAACCTGTAACCTAAACTATATAACGTTTAACTAACTTATAACTTCTAACCTTTAACTTACAACTTACTTTTGACTTATAACTTAAATATATATTTTTTAACTTATGGCTTATATCAACTATTCAACTTGTTAGCTATTATGACCACTATAACTTTTTAAAGCGCGTTATATTCATATATAAGATATATATATTTTTATAATTATATAATAATATATTATTGATTTAAAATTGTACAGTAGTTATGCAGCAGTGTATTAGATATAATAAAACAGTTTGCAGTTTACTGCCCTTACAACTTTTTAAGCCTGAAAGATACAACATTACATGCAATATACAGCAGGCAGCATGCAGCATGTAAATGCAGCTTCAAGATCCAGGATACATAATTACAGTACGAATCTTTTCTGACTGCTTTGCACTTTAGTGACTCTTTTGTGACTATGTTGACTATACTATACTGTATTGCTTATGCTGTGCTGTACCTGGAATAATGGCAAAGTTATTGGCCTGACCATGTGATGTTTTCAGGACAGCGTCGGGATTCTTGACACCTACGTCGATGTGGCCCGTGGGAACCCCAGCACAATTGACAATTGAGAAAACCTAAGACCTAAGCTTTGGCAACAGAGGCACAGTGTAACATATTATGTCAATCTAGTAGCAGTTTCCCAAGTCTTGTTTGTTTTGTTCTTGCAGTGATACTGTACTGTGATATTGTTCTTTGAAAACAGCAGTTCTGACAAGTGGAGACGAGGCTCCATTTCAACTGGCATGGGGGTATACAATGGTGGCTTCGGCGCGGCTTTTTCGACGAACATGAAGTTGTACCATCTTGGAAGGAGATCCTTCGTCCCTGCCCAGGCAAGGTTCACATTCATGTTCAATTGCTAGTGGCAGCATTGTCACAGATTTTGTTGGGTGAATGTAGGGGTTCAATTCTTTGTTGGCTCTGTCATTTTCTCATTTTTCTGGCTCCTTGGATGTGCACTCAAGGGTATAAACTGGTGCGAAGATCAAGGATGTGCAGAACTTGAAGCATTTTTTGTTGTGAGCATGTGACATCGATCTAGCTTCTGCATTCCTTCATTGATACGTTGTCAAATGAAATTCACATATCCCACTCGACATTAAATCATTGGTAATATTATAAATATTGCGATGTGATATGATTGATGATATGACTACGATACCGACACCTACGTGGTCATTTCATGGCATGCAGCAGTCAGAAAATGTCAAATGATGATGTAAAAACAGTTTAGACAGCTTATTATTTCTATTTTATGTATTGCTATCAGTACTAAATCAAATGCAGGATTATTTACAGACCATCACTAAACCTAAAATAACCAAAGTATATAATACCATGTTCGTTGTCTGGCCGCTTTTATTGCACCCAGAAGGACAAGTACGGAAGCTTAAAAGTACGATACTTCAAGGTGAAATCATTTGAAGAAGCTGCGAAAAGGAACATGGCAGAGTCGATGAGCAAGGCGTTGCAAGAAGTGGCATGCATGAATGGGAAATTTCCCCAAGGTCCCACTATAGGTGGCATGGAGGCAATGGCTAAGACCAGCCATGGATTTAACCAATCTGCTGCACAGCATGGCCGACTCCATCAGCTGAGAAAAAAATTGAATGCAAGATTGCAGCAGATGAGGCTACAACGAGTGATGCAGGAACCCTCTTGTGCTGACTATCCTTGCATTGATCATATGCTCTGTACCCTGCAACCCTGAATATGTAGTAAATAGGTCACAAGTCTGAAGTCACAATCAGATGCCATTTATATCTCTATTTACCAAATTTTCAAAATCAATCCGAATGAAAACAATAGAGTTCTTGCATATTTTATCCCATCTGGTTTCTGCGGAATGAAAGCCATCAGCTCCCTGACTGGCAGCCAGCAGCTTGAAGCTTATATTATTCCTGATATATTCATGTTCACATCATAGGATATACGGGGTATACAGCTTGCACGGTAGATACTTGTGTGGCATGAAACTTGGAGAGGGGATAACTGTGTGACATGCAGCTTGGGAAGAAGATATGCTTTGTAAGATGTTGCCACATCAAATCCTTTGCCACAGACCAAACCAATCCTTAAGCATAGTTTTTTTCCCAGGGCACAGCGCTAGACATATAACAATGGGATATATGCATCGGTTTTATATATTCAAACGATGCTTGGTAGACTTTTTGCATGGACAGGCCATGACAGAGATAATGACAAGTTAGGTATGTAGCAGCGGTATGATTCATGAATGCATGATTACAAATAATGTATTGAACATGGTGTCATGTCTTGACTTCTTTTCATCCGGCAGCTTGCACGCAGGAGTCAGAACTTTGGACCCTGGATGACTACATCAAGCGCAAGACCAACACAAAGCAGGTGTTCAAGAATGAGAAGCAACGCAAGGACTACTTGGTCAATAAATTGGGCTTGAAGTTGCAGCGTGACCCAAAGCGCAATTGCTGGTGTGTGGCAGTGGCCAAGAACACTGCCATGAAGACAGGATTGCGTTTGTCTGCGACAAGGACAAAGTCCCAGAATTTTGAGAACGACAAGGACGCTTCGAAAGAGGCATTTGCCCGTGCCCGAGAAGGAATCGAAGGGTCGGCAAATGTCAACACCAAGGACATTAGAAGTGGAACTTGGGATGGTAGGGTGACCGGAAATGAGATTGGCGTGCAATCAATAAGAATCTAGGTTGGCCTTTGGGAGTTTATATTTTTCCTGGTTTCCGCCATATTTAATGACAAGCATCATGCATTGTGTCTTCATTCGGCGTTTGGTTGTTGTAGGGGCATTGGGTTTCTCATGTCAGCTGTGTGTGTGCGCGTCTGTGTGTTAATTGGTGGCGATTTGCCGGCTGGCTCTCCACTCGGATTGGTAGGAGTGTGCAAGAATTTTATTCCTGGGATTTGGGATTCATTAAAGATTGTTAAAGTATATTTAGCAGTCCAGGAATAGAGCTTTTGTAGGAGCGTGCTTGAGAAATATGTAATACTGCCGATACTGCCATACAAATAGAGTATTTCGTGATTTTACACATAACCATACAAGGTAAGGGTAAAGGTAGCTACCCCCAGGGACTGCAACAGATATTTCACATTTGACTTTACATATCATGTTTTGGGCCAAGTAGCATCTTTCCATATTTACGCATGTCGTTACATGCTGCATGCTCCAGGAAGATGCAGAAAGAGCGGAGAAAGAGGCTGACGAGGGTGACAGCGACCCTGATGGAAGCCCAAAGTCTTCAAGCAGTTCCCGTAGCTCCAAGTCCAGCTTTGGAGTCGCTGACCAAGATTCGGATGAGGAAGCTGCCAAGAAACCCAAAAGGCGCAGTGTAGGATCGGCCAAGGCCAAGCCAGTGCCAAAGGGGAGATCTCAGCCCACCAAGAAAGGCCAGAAGGAGAAACAGGAGTTGGCAGAAAACTTGGATGTTGCTGAGAAGTACCTGGCTTCTTTGCAAGAAGGGCAAGTGACTGAGACTAGGGGTGCTGTCGCAGAAAAAGTGCTGCTTGTGCCCTGTGATGTCAGGTTGGGGTATAGTATATATATATTATATATAATATATATATATTATATATATATATTTATTGTAAATAATTAATAATAATATAACTGCATGTAAGCAAGCAGATTACCAAATTTCTGTTTTAATTGCTAGACCTAGTAGGCCAGGGGATTTATAGCAAGAACAGCACAAATTTCCACAGAATCATTCATGTGATCTCTCTAATTTTCTTTTGCCTGATATCTCTGGAACCTGATTTCCAACGTGGTTCCAAACATAGTTCCCAACATAGTTCCCTACATAGACGTATGGGTGTTTAGATATCCACAGAGAAAGAGGCTAAGATTATAAATAATATATATATGTATATGTATATGTATAAATATATACATATGGGCGCAAAAAGAAATTATTGGTTTATGTAGGTCATTCGCATAGACATATGTGTGTATATTATTACTTGTTTACAGGTTTGTCCTGAAATTCAAAGGACAAGTGGTTTTCTTCAGTGACAAAACTTGGGTGTGCCTCATTTTGGGATAACAATTTCGTAGTTGTATTTTGGCTGACATTTCCACATTTTATTGGTGCATACACTGTTTTCTTGATTAACACCAAAAAATGTGGAAATGTTAGCCCCATCAATGTGGAAATACAATGTTTTGTTGATTTTCAATATATTTACTCTTAACATTGATTTGGAGGTCTCCATAGTCATGGAGGTACTCCTAGTTATCATCCATTTTTTGCCGTTTTTTTCCATATAAACCATCCATTTACGGTTTGAAATCCCCGAGGTTTGTTGGGACGGTCAGTCGCCAAGGCTGGCATCGATCCGACCAAGATCGACGAGCAATGGCTCGGCGAGGCGCGGCAGGGGAAGGGATTAGGAGGGAGCTAAGGAGCTAGGGGTATTCATATTCCCTATATATTCCCTATTCAATGGGGAGCCAAGGAGCTACGAATCGAGTTTCCCAAGCATCAAATAGTTAGTTGAATGGAGTGGGACAATTTAGGATTCACCAATATGAATCAAATTATGTATATATATATATATATAGATAGGAAATTTAAATGGGAAAACTACGAATTTATATATTGGGAAAATCCAACTATTCAATGGGCCATGAGGAAAATTGCCATGAATAGGAAATGATCCAACTATATATTTTCCCATTTATTCAACTATTCCAACGATATCTTCAACTAATCTAATGAGAAACGGGAAAATCAATGGGACAATGAGAAAATCAATGGGACTATGGGAATTACCATCGGAAAATGATCAATAGGGAAAATAAATGGGAAAATCGGGACATCAATGGGAATTGATAGTTAATCAATAGGACAATAAAGTTATCATAATGGGAAAATTGCCATCAAGATAAAATTATGAATATTATCGGGAATTGAATAAATAGGACAATTATACCATCAATAGGAAATAGATTGTGGTTGAATATCCCTATAAATGAAAATAGATAGTGGTTTAGTATCCCTATAAATGGAAACTGATTGAATTAATTAAGGCTTAATGCGGCTTCATGGGGATGATCTTAATCAGGAAAATGTTGATTATATAATGGGAAAATCAATGAACATCATCGTAGAAGATATTAAGATATCGATTACTTCTATCAATAGATAGTTAATACTTAATAGATGGACACAGTTGGTTACTTTTATGAATTACCAGATGGATGTAAACAAAAACTGGTGAAATTAAACAACAAAACAGTGATTTAACTAACAAAATGGTGGTATAATGAGACCTTACAAGGATTTTATAATGGGAAATCATCTACAAATTGGTTCATGTGGCTTAACCATAGAACAATAGGCAATCAATAGAAACAACCAACCAGTGGATTTTGAAGATTAATCACTAATGGAAAGCTATTATCATCTAAACTTATACAATCATACAATTTTTAGGGAAGGACTATAGAATATGGGTTTCATGAATTGAGGGACTGTACAAAGGTGGTGATGCAATGGGATTGTATGGGGATATAAGGACAAATAATCATATATTTTTATAAAGCAACAGGATGAGATTTGTTCTTGTCTGAAAAGTGGGTATATCCCAAATGTGGGGATGATCTTAATAGGAAACATGTTGATCTTAATAGGGAGAGTAATGGCACAACACTGGTTTTAGGGTACCCAATTTATAGATTTAGGGATTAAATACTGGGACAATTATCTATAAATGGTTTGATGTGGCTGAATCATAGAACAATAGGACATGAATGAAAGTAATTAAGCAACGGATTTTAGAAATTCAGAATTCAGAGTTTGGAATTCAGATCATACATAATCATACATATAAATAAAGATAATTCATAACTATATTTGTTTATTTTCATAAACTTACTGGTGCAAAACTTACGCAGGGAATTTTTTCGGGAATGATCCATTTCATCACATTCGTTTCATGTCAGCATCCCAGCAACCCATCCAGCAACCCAAGAAATGGGAGGATGATCCCAGTTGACTGATATTTCAGGGATCAAGCCTTCCAGATTTTTTTTGTGGTTACCCTCTGGTAATGACTAACAGTTTGCTATTGAAAATGGCCATTGAAATAGTGAGTTTTCCCATTAAAAATGGTGATTTTCCATAGCTATGTTAAATTACCAGAGGGTAACAAAAAAACAATATTAATAGCAAACTGTTAAATAAATGGGCCGAATCTATACCATGGCGAACTGTTAGTCATAACCAGAGGGTATATTATGGGTATTCATGTATAGGTAATTCACCATCAAATCACCATTTATAGTGGTTAAATCCCATTAAATCCCATTAAATCCTATTAAATCCCACTAAATCACCATTAAATCACCATTAAATTACCATTAATCACCATTAAATCACCATTAAATCATAAATGTAGGGATTGTTTCATCGTGCGGTAGCCACCGGCCCCACGTCGACCAACAATTTACTGTAGGTCATGTCACGACGGCAGAAGAAGGAAGCCAAGGTCGATGAGGTCGCCGGGTCGGCCTTGGTCAAATGGCTCACCCCCCAAAAAAAAGGCGAATGATGGGATAGCCATTTGTAGGTACCTAGCATTTTTTTGGGTCTATTTTTTTAAGGAGCTAAGGGGATATAGGCTCAAAATGTGGCTTTATATGGTACAGTAGCTCCTGTTTGGGTACCTGAAATGGCCATTGATGGGATAAGAGAGATACTTATGTATAGAGTGAAAATTAGAGCTCAACATACCTCAACTGCTCATCTTTGGGGAAAGCTCAAGCATTGATCTTGGGGGGGTACGATGTATGTATGTATGTATATATATATGCATACATAATTTGTATACGTATAACTACTATGCAATTCATAGAAAACGACTAGTTTATGGAATAACAATATAGGATGTGTATATATATATACAATATGTTTGTCTGAAAATTGAGCATTTCCCCAAATAGCCATTTTCATGGGAACATGATGACAAATCACGGAAGTATGGGGGAATGACACCATTTTCAGACAAGCCCATCTGCCCATATCTATGCATGTATATATAAACATATGTATACATAACTGCTATATAGTTCATACAATATAGTTGGATTAATGGTTGTTGTATTCATGCACCGAAACAACTGTGGTAAATGGAATTTCTAATGATTGTATATATATAATTACAGTACTGGACTGGAAAAAATGTTGGGTAACTATACGGTATAGTGGCTATCATAGATATAATTGGGTAGAATCCATTGAATTTTCCTTGATATCAAATACCCCGCCAAAACCACCGAGATTTCCGTTTTTGATGGGAAGCATATGGGTTATGTCTACATACATACATACATTACATTCCATTCCATTCCATTCCTTCATTCATTCCTTCCTTCCTTCCTTCATTCATACATACATACATACATACATACCATACCATACCATACCATACCATAGCAGCATACCATACCATACAAACATACATACATACATACCATACATACCATACATACCATACATACCATACATACCATACATACCATACATACCATACATACCATACATACCATACATACCATACATACCATACATACCATACATACCATACATACCATACATACCATACATATCATACATACCATACATACCATACATACCATACATACCATACATACCATACATACCATACATACCATACATACCATACATACCATACATACCATACATACCATACATACCATACATACCATACCATACCATACCATACCATGCCATACCATGCCATACCATGCCATGCCATGCCATGCCATGCCATGCCATGCCATGCCATGCCATGCCATACCATACCATGCCATACCATACCATACCATACCATAGCAGCATACCATACCATACAAACATACATACATACATACCATACATACCATACATACCATACATACCATACATACCATACATACCATACATACCATACATACCATACATACCATACAAACCATACATACATACATACATACATACATACCATACATACATACATACCATACCATACCATACCATACCATACCATACCATACCATACCATACCATACATACATACATACATACATAAATACACACATACATACATACATACATACAAACATACATACATACATACCTACCTACATACATACATCCATGCATACATACATACATACAAACATACAAACATACATACATACAATACCATACCATACCATACCATACCATACATACCATACATACACATACATACATGCATACATACATGCATACATACATGCATACATACACATACACATACACATACACATACATATATATATACATATACATATATACGTATATACATATATATATATACATATATACATACACAAATATACATATATATATACATACATTTACAATACATACATATATACATATATATATATATACATACATATATTTACAATACATTACATTACATTACATTACCATACCATACCATACCATGCCATGCCATGCCATACCATACATACATACATACATACATACATACATACATACAATTCTGTACATGTATCTTGCACTAGGAGTGACCACCTGCCAAAATGGTACATATGACCCACTGCCATGATGATCATGCTGGAAGGGCGTGATTTCGATGATTTCGAGGATACTCAAAGAGCACTGGGAACACTGGCCCAAGTGATAAAGGGCTGGTCATGATGGTAATGTTTCGTAGTAAGTGGGTTATAACCCCAGTTATAAGTGGATTAACCCTACTTATCCCATTTATAAGTGGGGTTATAACCCACTTACTAAGTGGGGATGAACCACCAAGTATTGAACCATCCATTTTTTCCGGAATCCAACGAACCAGCTCCGGATCAACTGATTTTTCGGGGATGGATCACCGAAGCGGTGAAGCCTTGGTGTTTTCGCTTCATGGCTTGATCTTCCGCCGTGAAAAACGCCACGTTTGGAGTATCTCTGAAGCTTGGGGAACCCAGATTTGATATCCCAACATTCGATTTTTGGTTGGAAAACATGGGTTTTGGGATATTTTTTTTGGCACTTTTTTTAAATTGAAACCACCAAAAAATGGTGCTGGTGATGGCGACGCCAGACACGTTTGCTGGCTGCCCCTGTTGGGTTGATGGGAATCACCATTTATTCACCAGAAAAAAATACTGGGACATTCCGGGAAAACCCAGAAAGATATTCCCATTCGAATTACGGTTAATTGATGTTATATCACAGAAAATATCCCCATATTGTTGATTGATTATCATGTTGGAATTTCCCCTGAAATTCCAATAACAACCTCCTTATTCCTGGGTTTGAGCTCATGTTGGCTTCAAGTTTTTCCAGTGTTTACTAGGAAGTGCAGTTCCACTTGTAAGTGGATGTATTGTTATAAGATGTTCGAAGTTATAAGGCTGATATCCCAACCACGGGCGTGTAGTTCACCATGGTTATACACATTGAAAAAATTACCTCAAACAGCCTGCCCTTCGCAGACAAAACGCTAGGACGTTGAGAAGGAGAAGAGACTTGCGGCGGAGTTGCCCATGGAGAAGAGTGAGGCCTTGACGCGAAGGGGTTGAGCCAACTGGTGAATGATCAGTTTGCGAACTGGAAAATCATCATCTTTAAATATCTTTAATAGGCAAATCAACGAAGTCGCTGGGCCATTTTCAATAGCGATGTTAAATTACCAGAGGGTTAAGCCGACTGGGCCGTGACCAAAACATTGGTGCAGCGATGGTTTTCATCAGCAAAATGAGGAAGGGCCTGGCTTTGAAACAGCAAAAAATTGGAGCTGACATAACTGGTACATGATGGTTGATTGTGTTTGGATTGTTTATTATAGGGGGCTTGTTGGGGATTATTATCACCGGTGATGGGAACCCCTATGAACCAAGCAGTTTTTTAAGGGATGACAGAGGGGGTTCAAAACTGCTCAATTGGTTTTCTCCAGGAAACACGGTACTGTAATTTTATGCTGTAACTCCAGTTTAACCCCATTTCATGGGCCAACATATCATGCATTGGTGCAAGAATGTGGGATACCCCGACATGACAATTCTGATTGGCCGGAACCACCAAAACCAATACATACAGTTGCGTATGGCATCCATGGCATGGTGAACCTTTTAAATGGTCCTCATGAAATTTTCGCTGGATCTATAATATCAATATCAAGCATTTTTTTCCTATTCATGGAGATGTGTTTTTCCTATTCATGGCAATTTTCGTGGGGAACATAGTGGGGAACATGATGATCAACTGCAAGATTTTAGGGCATCCCTCATGTTGAGATAAAGCCTCGCCACGTGAACAAGCCATGTCTGAAGCTTCGCCGAGACTTTGGATGCCCAACATGATGGGTTATCTACCCTCTGGTTATGTCAAAATAGCTATTGAAAATGGCAATTTATAGTGGATTTACCCATTAAACATGGTGATTTTTCATAGTTATGTAAACGTTTACCAGAGGGTAACTAAGACTTCGTGGTTGGAAGGGTTCGTAAGGTCAGCCATTTTGGTAGCTTGCTTTTCAGAGCAAAATAACTGGTGTTCATCAATTACGTCACCCATTTTATGGTCGTCCTGGGTCTTTTGTTTGTTTTGTTGGCGTCAGGTGAGCAAAATCAAGACATAAATGATAACATGCACCACATTTCAACACTTATATCGTCATTAGGGAGATTTCGACCCAAAGGAATTTGGTGTTTCAACCAACAGATAGTGTGGCTGTATATAATCAGTCAGAATGATCACCAGGTGCTCAATAAGCACCTACTTTTCTAGACTTCTCTATTTCTATGTCTCGAATGGGCTCGGGTCGAAATGACTTTCCTGTTTTATGTTAGATATACGATATATATATACATATATATATATATATACATATATATATACATATATATATATATACATACATATATATATACATATATATATATACATATATATATACATATATATATATACACACTATACTATGGTTTATAAGCCAACAAACATAACTGGGGGGCACCAGCCTGGTATTTTTCATGGCCTTTAAGGTCGCCTACCTAGCCGCGACCTGGGCAGGTGGTGAGCAAGAAGCCGGAGGGGCGTCTTACCTGGCTCCACAAGGACTGGGGTAAGGACTACTGGGGTCCAGTGATTTGGGGAAGAAAAAAGCCATGGGATCACTATGGGATCACTATGGAATTAATGGTGAATTAATGGTGATTTAATGGTGATTTAATGGTGATTTAATGGTGATTTAATGGGATTTAGCCACTATAAATGGTGATTTGATGGTGATTAATGATGGTTAATGGTGATTAATGGGGGTTATTAATGGCTAATAGTGAATTAATATGAATTTACCCTCTGGTAATGACTAACATAGCAATGGAAAATGGCCATTTATAGTGGATTTTCCCATTAAGAATGCTGATTTTCCATTGCTATGTTAGTTTACCAGGGGGTAACTGCAGTGACACTAGGCATCATAAACCACTATAAACCATAGTTTTTGAAGTTATAAAATGTTATAAACCAACTTATCTATTAATTAGTGCTGACTGTAGTAGCTTTTTAGAAGGCATAGTATATAGGTTAACATAGTAGTTATCTAATAGACCTGCAATTCTAACATTTTTGATCATTTTTGTGTGTTTTAGTGCATAGTAGGTTATCTATATTATTTCTGTGCAGATCTACAAAACACTAATATATAAGAAGCACTAAATAGTGTATAACTTGATACTAATAGTGTATATCATTCCAAAAATTCCCCCCACAACGCCAGGTATCTAAGCTACGATCCGTGGGTAGTTCGCCACCAGCGGTATCTCCCTATTTTAAGAGGGGTCCAAAACTCCACGTTTTCGCGGCACGATCTCCTCCGCCGGCAGGCCTTGGTTCTCGCTGCCAAGGGCCGCATTCCCGTGCCGCAGATCTACAACATCGCAGCTCAGCTGATCTCTGAGAAATCGGATTTCGATCCCATGAGATCTCCAGAAACTCCAAAATGATGGTTTAAACCTCCAGAAAGTGGGAAAATGATGGTTTAAACATGATTATATCTGGATTCAATGGAAATTCCAGAACACAAAACAGACTCCAACCCAACTTAGGCCAACCCATCCAGGGTTTAATAATTTATTAAACATGATTAAAAGGAGGAAGACCCAACACACGAAATCTGCCAAATGGATCCGTGGAATTCATTGGTATCCCGTGGTATCCCCCATTTTCAGACCATCATATCAAGTGGGTTATATATCTCAAATATCCATAAATATCCCGTATTTTTCCCAGTTAAATCACATGTCAAAAAAACTATTCTGAACAAAAACGAAACACACTTTTCCCGCATTTCCACCAGATTTCGCATCATTTCGTGCTTTTTTTTATTCCCATCATCTTCTCACATTTTTGACTATATGGCAGTGTGTCAAAACCTTGTACCCCTGTAGTTCACATCAAAATAGCTGGGATTTATGGATGTTCATCCCTCTAAAAATGGTATTAATAGGTATTGATTCATAGCCATATATCCATTGGAAATCCCTAGTGGCTTGTGGCCAAACATCCCCATGATCCGCTGAGCGTCGTTCACGCCGCCGAGATCCAGTCCTCCAAGTTCACCTCGGGCGTGAGCAGCAAGGTGAGCAGCTTTTCGAAAGTGTGTGGGAATGATGAGGAATAATAGTGATTACATATGGCAGTGTGTCAAAACCTTGTACCCCTTCTGTTCACATCAAAATAGCTGGTAAATGGATGTTCATCCCACTAAAAATGGTATTAATAGGTATTGACCCATACCCATATAGGATGAATAATATATTATAAATTATAGTAGTTACTATGATTTGTAATATATGATGTAATCAATTTATTGGTAATAGTAATAGTAATTATTTAGATTAGTAATAGAAATTAGTGGATTAGTAATAATAGTTTATTTGTGAATTGGTATTAGCAATAGTAATGACAATTTATTGGTATTCGTAATCAGTTATTAATGGATTAATCATGATTAGTAGTCCCCTTAGCAATAACCGTTAATATTAATGATTATTAATAGTCATTAATAATCAATGATAATCGATTACCACCATCTATCTAATCTGTAATAACTAGACTTAGTTGCAAGGATTAACAATGGACTATAACTAATGTGGATAGTCAATGGGATGTTTCATTATTGGTCCGAACCATCGTGGAATAAGGATTAACAAACGGATTTTTGATGGGACAATCATGTGATAACTACCCTCTGGTAATTTAACATAGCTGTTGAACATGGCTGTTTTTAGCTGATTTACCTATTAAAAGTGATGATTTTTTCGATAGCTTTTTGTTAGTTTACCGGAGGGTAATCAACATGATAGCGCAGCAACCCCGACAGTTCGATGCCGAAGAGTTGGCAACGTCCGATGGGCCAGCGAAATCCGACCAGTTGAAAACGGTGGTTTATACATCCCATGATTTATAGGATGGGTTGAAAAACTATCCAAAATTGGTGGTGCAGGATGTCGCAACCAGCCACAGTTCCACATTTTTGGGAATATCTTTGTGGGTTGCTGTATTGCATAACGATGGATCAAGAACAAACGACAGCAATCATTTTAATTTTCGGGAACGAGTCGGAACGATGTTTTTTTTGGTGAAGATGGTTATATATCTAGTAAACAAATGCTAAATGTTATAGTTGGTTATTATTGATCAAGGAGGAATCAATCATATTCTGAATGAGGGAGTAAACATAATCTTATTGTTTTTCATCAATAATAATCAATGTATTCGAATTATGAATGAAACCAATTCAAAGTATGGATCACAAACACATTGATGATCATTATTAAGATTCGCGCCTTTACTCAATTTGATTGAACTGAATAGTATTGACTGTGACTCAAATGATATTCTCAACCGTGGTCAAATACTGTTGATGGAGTGAATTATGCTGTTAAGATTGTGAATAATGTGGGTAAACCGATGTCCCAAATGGGTGGTTTATCATTGTTTTACCCACATGACTATGTTGTTGATCATTTTATTAACGACATTGATGGGAAATTAAGGGCAACACAAATATATAATGACAAGAAACATACTGTACCAGGATGATTATTACTTGAGGAGTGATAGCTTTAGTGGTGAACACCTGATATAAATATGAAACTTCTGATAAATATAATATCAGGTAAACACTGCCTTAGTGGTGAACACTGATAATCATCTTGTCTTCTGATAAATATGGAGTGATAGCCTTAGTGATGATCACAAGATGATGATCCTAATCCCATCCCCCATTTGTAACACCCCAACCGGGTCCATTCAAAAAACTCGTGCTTTCATCATCCCATGCACCCGATTTTGGGGCTGTGAAGATTTCCTGTAGCATCTTCCAGAACAAGAATTACCCGGCCTGGTAAAGACTAACAGTTTGCGAACTTGAAAATGGTGATTTAGTTCGTGGATTTACCCATTGAACTGAACATGGTGATTTTCCAGTTCGTTATGTTAGTTCGTTTACCAGGCCGGGTAACTGTGGTGTTTCTGCTGATCTCTGCAAGTTCCTCTGTCTGCAGGTTGGATTGAAGATGAAAGGTTTGGTTTCCGCCAATCTCCATCTTTTCAAGAAGGCAACAGGGGGGGGGAGCAAAACCGCTTGGATGGGTAAAACCCTGGGCATGTGGCCAATATTTCATGAAAGATTGGGAGATGTTGGGCTAAAATATTGGGAGAGCTTTTTGCGGAATGTTGGGATGGAACCAGCAAAACTATGGGATGTTTTGTTGAAAACATTGAACACCCGCTGGTGATGGACTGATTTAATCTAATTCAATGAACCTCATTCGTTCTGTTTTCTTGATGGAGAGTTAAGTTTCACCAGCCAAAAAAAAGCATTTTGTTTGCAGGGTATAGGACCGGATGCAACGGCATTTCATGGCACGTGCTCGGCCTAGGCATTTGCGGTTAGGATTGGGGAGTCACCCCCCCCCCCCGCAATGGCCGAACGTACTTCAAATTGGTGAAGTATGATGCCTTTTATCCACATCATATATGATTAATTGTTATTAATGTGGTTAAAAACAATGCCATAAAGCACCCATATGGTAATGGTCTATAGCACCTATGGTGAAATCGGGGATAGTTGATTATTGTTCTACCAACATTACATGTTGTTACTATGTACGGAAACGGTGAGCAAAAACCTTGATAGATATCTCACTATATCTATGTTTGCTGGAACATTTCCACTTTCATTGATGTTGAAAAATCCAAGAAGTTTTTTTGACATTTCCAAACCGAAGTTGTGATTTGATGTGATTTGTGCATCAATCCCATTATCCATTGATATCCATTGAACATTTCTAAAGGTTCCCAGATTTCTGGTGAAAATTCGAACTCTCAAGCGTGGGTTTGCAGTTCCACTGAACTAGTGGCTTTGCGTTTCCACGACGCCGTGGGTACCCCAAGTTACCAGGGTTATTTTACCAGGGTTATACTCACCATGGTTACTAATATACCCAGGGCTTTTAATCAAACAAGAACCAGTTGCATCCAGTTGACTTAAGTCGGTTGATCTCCCCAAAACTATCCACATTGCCTGGCTAAGCCACGCCTCTTGGTTGTCAAGCCAGCAACTCATTGGGATAATCCTGCAGATGTTGGTGAAAATCCACTATTGCTTCGACGTTCAGCTGTAGGAGCAACAGAAAAGCTTGCAGAGTGGTAGGCCGCGTGGGGTGCGATGGGTGGTGAATGGCGAGTGCTGGTAATAGGCGTAGTTTGATATAGATTCAATCTGGGTAAATTATAACGACCTCACTGCGACCTCACTGGAATCATGGTTAGTAAGGGAAGTCATCCCAATATGGCCTTAATTCAGGTTAGTGAAATATTATAATTTACCCAGATTCAATCATGTTTGCTGATTTAGTTGCCACAACTAGGGAAATATATTTCCCAGCTCCTGTCAGACGTATTTTTGGCAGAGTGCCCAAGATTGGCAATGATTCGTTTGAATCGCCTACTGGGTGGCTAACAAACCTGGTAGTGACCAAGAAAGTCCTACAACAAGGGTCAACCATGGCTATGATTCTACACTTTTGACTGAGTATGCCAGTTGGTAGACTCACCTCGTAGCAAGCGAGCTATATCTCTTTGGAGTTCCTATAGTAACTGGCCATAGCGATCAATGAAGTGGTTTGTTTGCGTATAGAGGATTGGCATCCATTGGTTTCCAGAGTCTCTCATTGTTACTTTAAGCATCCATGGTTTGACTTTAGGCAGTCTGAGTCTAGGTATTTTCAATGGCTCATGGAACTCGCCTGGTGGCCCTTTACCAGTCATGAGTTAAAAGTAATAAGTACTTACAACCCCATTTATGGAATGTATAATCCCATTTATAACCAGTTACAACTAATGAGTGGCCATAACTGAATTAAGTTGTGCTTCTCACTGCATATGGAATGCCATTGTCTCAGACTTGAAGGGAACATTTACTGTTGACCTCCCCTGTTTAGTTGGGGTTTTTCATGGAGTACCCCAATAGCTGGATGGTTTACAATGAACAGTTCTATTAAAATGGATGATTCCAAAATAGCAACATTTATGGAAACCCGAAACCCTTGTAGTATGTTTTAGGCAGAATTTCCTTCAAACGCAAGGTCGCAAGGTGCTGTCCCCCTAGTTAAAAACTGGTCGTTAATAACCATCCAGTAGCTCGCTATAGATATATTTACTATAAATCCTAGTTAATATTGGATATAAATGCTACTAGATATATTTTTTCTATAGATATATATTTACTATAGATATATTTACTATAAATGCTACTAGAAACCAACTTCGCCAACTGGGCATCACCTTGCGACCCACCGGGCAGCCATGGCTGGAACCAGGGAGCTCCAGGCCCAAAAACATCAGATCTCTGCCACCGCAGAATTTGGCAAGTCACTTGTGGATGTAAATGCTGAATGAACCACATATAAATGATAAATAATACATATATATATATATTATACATATACATATATACATATACTTAGATAGCTGGGGATATTCCATGTGGTTAATATATGGTCCAATATGGTCAAAAACACCACCTGTCTCAACTGGGATGGATCTGGATCCGGATCGAAAGCCCGGTATCTGACTAGGCTCATGGACTTCTCGAAAGATGGTGCGCGGACGGGCTGGGTATGTTGGACGGGTGGACGGTACGTTCGGTAGCCTCCAGTCTTGCCGGAAAATCAAACATGGCTTGCACGAAAATCCCAAAAAGCCGAGCTAACACCTTGGTAGTCGGGATTTCACCAGCTGGGTATGTGGGTCGTGGGTCTTCAAATCGGGATTTGATTCGACTCAGCAACGACATGGCAACAGGAATTGTTCACATAATCTGATCAGCAAAACTATAGAAAAAATCAGCCTGAAATCTTCTGGCTTCAGCTGTGATGGAACAATCTGAATGAGATCCCACCAGCCCCATGGGTTTGCGACGACAATTTGGTTGGGACTATTCATCACCCAAACGAATGATTCCATGTGAGCAAAACACATCTCTTGGAATCCCTGGATGGATTTGTGGCGTCCAGATTCCAAAAATTCCAAATTCACCCAGTGTTTTAGATGACATTTCTTTCACCTATCACTGACCCCATCGTTTTTTTGGCGTCCAAACACACAGATGTTTTCTTCAGATTTCACCCCCAAAATCTCGGGATTTTCCACCAGAAATGGGGATTTGGGGGTTGCCCAACAGACCCCAATTGGTCAGCAAAGATGGAGGTTTCACAGGAGTTTTATGTTGGACTCTTGAGTTTCGAAGCATCAAAAACCTGGGTGTCTCAGCAAGGAAAAACGGGATTTACCCGGCCTGGTAAACGAACTAACATAACGAACTGGAAAATCACAACGTTTAATGGGTAAATCAACTATCAATGGCAAAATTTCAATAGCTATGTTAAATTACCAGCGGGTAACATGGATTTGGGTGTACAAAATCATCCCAACTGTCGAAGCTAACTGGTTAGCCAGCGAAACAACAGGTCAAGCAACAATAGGGACGTTTTCCAACTAGTATCTGGGTGCTTTCCAATCAACATCAGCATGGCTTGATTCTACAGTGGCTTAAAATTATAGATCGCATTTTGGATACCCTCTGGTAAAAAAAAAAGCATAGCCTCGGGAAATCCCCGAACTCAATGGGCTTTTAATGGTAAAATCATCGCACTAAATGGGGATTTTTTAAGCCATGGAACTGATTGGCGATCTCTTACTGCGGACAGCTGTTGATTTTGGAACCTGGGTCCTTTCGGAATTCGGAACCCATTGGTGAGCCACAGCAAAATGGCTGGGGGCATCATGGCTAACATCAATCAGAAGCGATGAAGATTGGGACAATTTGGTGGCTATAACATCAATCAACCCCAAAATTTGGTAGCTATAACAGCAATTAAGGCCTAGGGGCTATAACCACTGACTCCTTAAGGAAACAGACACTGGTGAGGAACTGACTCTTAAGTCCAAGCATCGGGTTGAGATTAAGTGTGTGCCTGTGGTCACGGCAACAAACGTATGTGGTATAATTACGAGAAATAAGTCCAGTAAATATAATTGATTATGATTGTGTAGTCACTGATAATAATTACTTACTGTAGATATCTGTAGATTATTGTGGAAATTCAGCCATTTGTGGATCCTTTTCCTTTTGAAACCATGGTTTGTTATCTGAATTTTGTAGAGGTAAAGTGAACAAACCTCCCCAAGTTTGGGCCGAGAAGCCTGCGACCAGCAGCTAGAAAGCCCTGGTTCGGTTAGCCATTGAACGTTCAATCCTTTCGCACATGGGGTAACTATTGGGTAGCTAATAGGATTGACTCATGGGTAGCTATAGGTAACAGAGGGGTACCCTCTGGTAAACGAACTAACATGACTATGGAAAATCCACCAATTTTTCATGGGAACATTCACTATTCTGGTGATTTTCCATAGTTGTGTTAGTCATTACCAGTGGGGTAACTATTTCGCTATTGACGAACTTCGTTTGGGATTTCTGGCAAAACCACCTTACAGAGATGAGGTTTGGGGCCCTGGTCTCTCACGGGTGGATTGATCTTAGTTGGTGCTTTTGTATCTATGGGTCAACAAGATTGAAGCTCCAAAATGAATCGTTTACTGCGGATCTAATCTGGTTGGTGGTTTGGAACATTTTTTATTTTCCATAATAGATGGGATAATCCTTCCCATTGACTTTCATATTTTTCAAGATGGTTAAAACCATCAACCAGTAATGGTCAATTTCTTTGGCCCATTGGTTCCCATTTTCTGACATCTCCATATGTTCGATGTTCCAATCCTGTTATGATTCTAGTAATCCCCAAAGGGAGTCATTCCATAACAATTCTCAACAGAGTTGATCCAAGCAATTGTAGGTAAATGTAGGCCACAGTGTGGAAATCCCTAAAAAACCATGTTTTCTGGGGCGGTGTTCAACATGAATGGGGGATGGGATTACTCTCTACTCATTCACCCTCTCTGCTATAAGGCGCGTTAGGCGAAAAAAAATGCACAGCCGGTGTTTCAACCCAACTTGATGTTTTTTTTGAGGGGAAAAACAACATGGTTTCCTGCAATTTGTTGGTTTCTGCCAATCCATTGGTTTATATTGGTTTGGTCCATGAGTCAGTTTTTGAAAAAGGGGACCATTGCAGCCATGTCACTGCAGAATGTCACTATAAATACTTATCCATATGGAGGTTTCCTAAAATGTGGGTACCACCAAATCATCCATTTTATTTTGGGATTTTCCATTATAAGCCGTTCAAACACACCAGCCAATATGTTAGACAACTGGCAGCGCACCTGTCACTCCCCATGCCCATACACATGTTACTGAAGATGTCCAGTTCTGATGTCAGAATATATGTCAGTGACCATAAATGCCAGCTTACTCGCCAGCTCGTCACGGAACAAATTGCTGTTGCCACTGCCTGTAGAGCCTGTAGGGAAGTCCCCGTACGAGGGGCAGGCGGAATGGAGGCGCTCCAACTACGCATAGGGACGGCAGCCTCGAACCAGCCCCAGAAATTACGGCTAAGTTGGGAGGCTTAGGAAAACATGGTAGGTTGCCATAGGTTGCCTGGATGGTGACTGCTTCAAATCCTAACACCTAAGAGTTGCCTCTTCGTATGAATGTTCCTAGTGTTTGGTGGAGCGGCAAGTGGGCGATAGAAAAATCCGCGCAGTTTGGTGATGCGCACGTACTTAGCATGTTCCTTCGGCACGGTTTGGCGCTCGGAACGCGCGCTTTAAAAGCTCGCGTTCCGGAACGCGCGTTCTGAGTGGATCCTTTCTCCAATAATCCAAAGTTAGTGTAGTTCCTGGGCCTGGACACTGAAGCCTTTTTTCCCCGCAATTAAGAAAGGATTTCAAGAGCTCTTATGGGCTCAAAATGGTGGATGAAGCCACCAGAAAGTTGATCTTCCCAACTCCGGATCCTTTTGGCTGAAGCAAAAAAGGTTCTGGCCTCACCAGGTTTGTGGGGCAAGCTAGGTTTCCTTCCCGGATCCTTTTTTTCTCTGAAGGAAAAAGGTTCTGACCTCTCACAAATTTTATCGTAGTGCTGTTAACAGAGGTCCAAGAAGACTTGAAAAAATTGAAAAACTTTAGTTGCAAGGAGCAAAAAAAGGATTGGGAGGCTTCTGGAGCCAAAAGCCACCATAGACCCCCCCTGCGTTCGGAACGCGCGCGTGCTAAGATACCATATGGCAATGTCATTTGACTTTTGTTACGTGTGAAAAAACAAATCATGCACACACACACACACATGACAAGATTTCGCGTGCATATACCTGGTGAAAATTGGTACAGTTTGAGGTTCCCAAATTCCCGCGACCACGCCGCTACGCCATTCTGAACCTCGGCAGGTAGTTCCGGGAGCGAAGAAGAGAAGAAGAAAAGCAAAAAGCGAAAGCATAGCAACAGTGGCTTGGTGGAAAATGTCAGGAACCCCAAAACTGAGACAATCACGGCAAAATGGGGGTAACAGGGTAACATGTGGTAAACCCACAATGAACCACTGCTTTTAGAGGGTGTATACCGCCCATTTGAGGCATTATGAGGTAATATTGGGGACGTTTGATTGTTGGGTTTCCACATGATGCTGCAATTTAGACATGAACAATATCATGGGTATATTGACCAAGATGTGGAGATGCAATATGATAAAATCATTTTCACAAGTCACAGATATTCATGTGGACGCTACCATGCTCTTGAGATATAGTTACTCTTCGGGCCCACCGGCACCGTTGGAAAACCCTCCAAGGCTATAGCGCGTCGAGCCATAGCCGCCATAGCCGCAGCCGCAGTCGCAGCAGCAGCCGGCGCAGTGATAGCCGCAAGAAGAAGAAAAAGCGAAAAAAGGAGAAGGAGAAGGAGAAAGAGAAGGAAAAGGAGAAGGAGATTGCGATTGACACACGAGGAAAGGATTTTTTACCCAATATAGTCCCTGTTGGTTCCATGTCCAGAATCATCAGGGTTGGCTAAATCTTCGTAAGCAGTAACACCTACTAGTAAGGGCAAATCTTAACCATCCATTGTCCAGGTTGTAAAGTTACGTTTAAAACTGCTATAGTATAGATTGCTTAGCTTTTGGAAATCGTTTGCTAGATAATCATCATCTTTTAGATCTTTTAGAGTTTTCTAGAAAATCACGATTTTCCGTATGAAAATTGCTATTTGGTAAACGGTGTGCAACATTTCTAGAATCAGCCGTGTTGATCTCCCCTTTCACAGCGTAGCCCAGCCACGGCATTTTTTGCGCAGGACAGATCGAGATCCCATGACGATCGATCTCATGAAAAGAAAGAGAAGGAAAGGGAGAAGGAGAAAGAACGAGATAGAGATAGTGTCTCAGATCAACATAGTTGAAATATGTTGAAATCAACTGTTTGATGGTGTCATTCTTTTTAGTTTTTCAAACTCCATGTGGGATAGTGATCCCCGATGACTATGCATTTCTGGATGGTTGAATCATCAATCAGATCGATTGGATCCATTCTTTAATAACCAAATCTCCATAATCATCCAAAAAACTGGAATCTCCACATGAACACATCACCAGGACAAAAAAGAATCCTCTCGTGCTTACCAACACCGTTCCCCATAGACTCCTACCATCTCCTACCACAGAATTTTCAAGTTGGGTCTGACCACAGATCACATTCGTAACATTGAAGAACAAACAATGTAAATTGTGTTTGAGATTTGATCCGTCGCACAGGCTACGCGAAATTGTTTTTGATAGTATCAATCCGATTTGCACAGAAATATACTGTTTTGTTCTAGATGCGTCGATGAGAAAAAACTCTTCGCAGTTTCCCAACAGGAACGGATTGGACCGCAGGTGCCATGGTCAAAAGATGATCAAATTGGCATCTTGACAGGGATTTCGATGGATTTCGTACAAGTTTAATATACCCATTATTTCTGAAATCCCTATCAAGATGCTGTGATGACCATAGCCCATCATATGGATTTATTGGATTTGAGCGCCAGCGTCTCTAAGGTGATGATGCAGTGAAGAAGCCTCTTGATGCAACCGGGAGTGTCCCAGGGTCCCTGGGTGAAAGGTGGAGGATTTCATTGAAGCAGATTTGAAAAGGTGGATCATCAGAAAATCATCAGATCCCCTCGCTTAATCCACCTAAATGGGGAGTCTATAGGGAAGATTTGTATGCAAATCCAAGTGAACATCTAGAATATTTGGTCTGGAATAGCGCGCAGAACAACATCTTCCGATGCTTTCGATGCTCAGTTCTTTGGGTTTGGCGGTTTGGCACAGTTTAAGCTTTTGTCACTTTATGGCATGTGTCTATGGAAGTGTCATGCTAGTAAGTACCGCACAGACGCAGGCAGCTGTCGATTACATGTGAGTGTGTGTGTGGGACGAACAAACATATTTATGTTCTTGTCTACAAGAAAGAAATGGTACGTTCATGATTAATAGTGACAAGCCACACAAGTAAGGGTGAAGAGTGAAAAGACAAGATTTGACAGTTGAGACCAAAAAGAGTGGAGAGTAACAAAATCAGAGTGACCAGTCAAAAAGGGGTGAATAAAAGTGCACAGTAGATTATACGAGTTATATAGCAGCATTGGCAGTCGCAAAGAAATCCTGTAGCAGACCCTACAATATACCATACGCGCAGGTATCCCCATATATATATAAATATACATACATCATCTGGTTATTTAACATAGCCATGGAAAATCACCATTTTTAATAGGTAAACCATCTATAAAGGGGCCATTTTCCATGGCTATGTTAAATAACCAGAGGGTATATCAAATTCGACGGTCATGGTAGCTTCGATTCCTCATTCCCAAGCCACATCTGTTGCTCAAGACCCACGTGTTCGTGATCCCAGTTTTCCCCTGATATCTGAGGCAACCTGGGAGGAGCACTTTGACAATTTGATATTTGATTGTTTTCTTAAAACCGTCAAAGCTAATAAATAAGCAGCTCAGTAAAGGTTTTGTTGAACATAGCTAAATAGTTCTATTCTTAGCAGGGTATTTACTAAGCATCCTTCAAAAAAGAGGCACTTCTTGCCTACAGTTGGCCATGGGTGTTCACGCCTTTACCCTCGGCGTCTGAGGAAGAAAAAAGACAAAGCCAAGGACGCAGCTGGCCAACCGGGGATTTAATCAGGATTATACCAACCAACATTGAGATCTACCCTTTGGTTATTTAACGTAGCTATAAGAAATCACCATTTTCAAACAGGTAAATCATAATAAATCGTCTTTAACTAATCCATAGCTACGTTAAATACCAAAATGGTAATTAATCGACACTGAACATCGAGTGTCCGAACATGGGAGATGCATCAAAATGGAAAGGGGAAGCATTTGAAGATCATGGGGCCAGTGCCAAACATACACCTCACCTTTTGGCGGTTTTAGAAGGGAAAATAATGATCAATGAGTGAATTCCAGGGTACCTTATTCTCAGACGAACCCACATTTCGGTACGCGATTGAGGACTGGACTGTCCTCCTAAGACCTCCTACGGATCCAGCCTACACTTGCGAAATTGAGCATCTTTGCCATTCGAGTTGCCGCAATGCCCGCGCTGAAAAAGGGAAGGCTTCTTCAATCACAATGTGCAGGTTTCCGCTTGATTTTTTGCGGTTTCTAGTGCCCGGGATCGGCGCATGCAGCGACAGTGATGAGCAGAAGCAATTGCAGAATCAAACCAGCTCTGCTTGATCAGAGAATATTGATTGCCAGGCCTGTTCTTCTGGTTGCTGACTTGTTGCTGGGTTCCTTGTCCAGGGTTGATCCGGCCTACTACACATTCCCCCCCTTTTTTGCGGTGTTGGGAGCGACCTTGGACAGGACATAATTTAGCGACTCAGTGACATGTCAAAACACATCCCTGAACTGTTGGCAACACTTCGAGCTGTGCTTGACCAAATTATATCGACCTCAAAATGACTTCACCTGAAAAAAGGATAATTGATGCGCGTATACGGGGGGACGTCAAAAGAAATGCCCAGTTCTGGTTTGTTGTGTCTTGCGTGTGTTTTGCGCAACTTACATTGCTGACATTGCTGAATAGTGGGTCATTGTTCCTTTGAAGATTCGTCAGAATCGGAACCATGCAAAAATTTGATTGTGGAATGTACGAATGGGTGGTTTCAGATATGCAATAAATGGATGTATGATGTATTAACTACCCACCACCACAGTTGCGGTATTGTCTCGTTTGACTTTCCCACTCTGTGGTCCGTGGTGTTTTTTTTGCCGCATGTTTGATCTCCCATCCTTACATCACACGTGACCTGGAAAAGTATACATAATGGACAAAACCGGGGATTTGTTGGAGTTATCACCTAGATCTTCGCTGGGTTGCACTTGCTGCTAACCCAGAGGGATTTCTAATTTGCACGCAGTGGCACCAACGAAGCCCACCCTGAAACCATATTGATGCCATGTAGGCTAACTAGTAGCTGACTTAAACTCTTTCTGTCTGGACAACAAAACATGTTCTTTACAGCTAACATGGACCCCGTTTACCATATGTAATACATGTTAACGCACATGAGAACAGCTGATAACACATGATTTCCCCACGATTCGGTTCAAAAATTTCATGCCCAGACTGGGCGTTGTTCGTGTTGCTCGTGTCCTCCAAAAAATTGCATATTTTTTTTCCCAGAATCCAGCCCAGTGGTTGAATAACCATGGTTAGATATGGTTTTTGTACGTCCCATTTATATATTTATGTGGTTTTTTCCCATGAAAAAAACGGTGTTTTTGACCGTACACCCGGTGACGGGAAATCCTAAGCATGATCAGTGGGATGATCCTCCACCTCTCTGGGCAATCTCTAATTTCAATGGATTGATTTAAGGGAAAAATTACAGGAAAACATGGGAAAATCGATGGTTTCCGGTTAAGAATTTCCCTTAAACCAATCCATTGATAATTTTGTCAGGACAAGAAGGAGGAGAAGGCTGCGAAAGAAGAGAAGGCAACTCCTCTGGACATTTTCTCGCAATCGGACATGAAGATATCTGAAGAAATCGTAATGCCCTTCAACGACTGTACAATAAATGACAGCTAATTGCAATTTACAATCTGGGGCATCCTAGATACTTAAGTTATCTTAAGTTGATTTATAACTAACTAGTTTAACTATGTTGTTTATGGTAGATATACCTATACCTCATGTGATTTAAAAACCAAGAAGCACAACTGGGAGAGCCAATCTTGTAAGGAAGATCATCCCCCACAGATCGATGGGTTGTTGGTCAAAGTTGACGACGGCCAGAGGGCCAAAGAAAGATTAATACCAAACATACAGTCTATCACAGGGTTAGCAGTTAGCACTTTCCAATGATTAAACAAAAAATTGAGGTTGGAGGCATATTTCCATTAGTATACTACCCAGACTACCCTATATATACTGCCTGTATCCGAGGGTTAGCAGTCTGTACTAAGCATACAGTAAATCACAGTATCATGTTGACCAGTGAATAGCACCTGCCATAGTAAGTTTCCATATCGTAGCATACCAGAGAAAAGTTTAATCGATATCCAGCAGCCCAGCCCGTTGTTATGTGCTGCAACCATACATAGTATTAACAAGTCATGGAGTGGCTAGAATATTGGATGGCCATCCACCATAATTAAAAAACATAGTTGCCCATTCGATATCATTTCGGAACATGTTTGAAAAATCAACTCCAACAGTCCGGTTGCGGTCATTCCAAAGATGTCAGAAAATCATGGTGTCATTTTTCAGGTAGCGTTCCAAGTTTCGGGCAGACATAGGATGAACATGCGAAAACCCGCCAACAGAAACAGAGAACGCCCAGGGGGCAGGGCAGGGACGATCAAAACTCCACGGTCATTGGGTCATTGTGGAGAATCACCAACTTTGTGCCCTTAAAATATCAGAGACTGGTTGGTGGTTTCAAACATGACTTTTATTTTCCATAATATATGGGATAATCCTTCCCACTGACTAATATTTTTCAGAGAGGTTGAAACCACCAACCAGGAGACTGATTATGAATTATCCGGATGCATCAGCAACTTACAATCTTCATGGACGACTGGGGGGTTACACTGTGCCGTGATGTCAATATCACATCTACATCACGCAACCAGAGCCTTCCCAGCAGAATTTTCCGAACAAGTCCCAAATTTCAACCGTGCCTGGGCTATAAATCATTATAAATCAGGAGATCTAACAAGTCTTCATCACCATAACCAACCATGGAACTACCATCCTGGACATGTTTTTCTGGTGGTTACGAACTGAGGGTCACCCCCCTTTTTTCGGAACGGACGAGTTTACGTGGCGTGGACTTCACCCACAAACAAAATTGGGACCCCAGGATCGGTGGGCTGATCCTCCACGTATACTCCATATGACATTATGGTGATTTAATGGTGATTTAATGGGATTTAACCACTATAAATTGTGATTTGATGGTGAATTACCTATACATGAATACCCATAATATACACTCTGGTTATGACTAACATAGCCATGGTATAGATGGCCTAATCGAAATAGTTGGTTTACCGAACTTAAAAATGGGTGGATTTTCCATGGCGAACTGTTAAATAACCAGATGGTATCTCATTAATTCAGATCCATGAAAACCCATTAAATCGCCACAGATTTTAGAGAAATCTCTCTAAATCTCAGTTTTGTGTATTTGTTTCTTGATCTTCCCATCGTCCTTAAGATTGTCAATTTGTTTTGTCGAGGCGCACAAGGAAAAGAAGGTGTGGTGCGTTTTTTATTCAACCGCCAAGTCGTTCAGTTGGATGGTGCCGAAAATCGTTTTGGAAGATGAATTTACGTCTGGAAATCCCCAAGTTTACGTGGTGTTTGATCTTAAATATGGAGTGTGATCAATCGATTGGTTGAAGGGAAAAGTTACCGGAAACATGTTTTTTTTAACCATCAAATCAAAATAGGTTTCCTGTAATTTTTCCTTCAACCAATCCAATGATATGAGTGCGTTTTCTGTTGTAATCTTACCAACATTGTGTGGTGTCGAATTCAATCTTAATGGGCCAGGTGGGGGATCAACTTTCCGGTGGCTGTGGGGATATAGTATAGTATGATTACATAATGGAATTTAATGGAGATCCAGCTCATTGTGGGTAATTATAGTATATTATAGCCACTTTTGCGGTGAAAAAAGATGTTTTATTTGATGTCTTTAGCCGCTTTAGCCATTTTTCCCACGTATCTGGGGTGGCAGCAACCCTGATCGACGATGCGCTTTCCGTGAGAAAAAATCCGTGATCGACCTCTGGGTACCAGAACTAGGATCACCCAACTTCGGACCTGGTTTCCAAAGTGGCTGTAGCCCACTAAATAGCCCACTAAGTTGGGCATTTCTTAGGAAATATATTATGTGAATGATACCCCAGTGAATGGGATAGCGGGATAGCCCACTATGAGGACTTATGAAATTTATGAATGCCTGTCAATATTACCCTGTGAAGCCCGTGAAGCCCCCTGATTTGGCATTGGATCCATTCATGACTTGGGTGGGATTTGATAGACATATCATATATTAATATCATATAATAGTATACTATAATCGATAGAAATGTATATATATCACACTATTATAATATTGATAATCTATGAAAACATACTATAATCTGGTAATGACCAACCAGATAGAAATATTATAATATTGATGTATCACACTATTCCAGTAGAATTTAACAATTTTCTGCATCTTTTTTTGGGGACCCAAAAAGGGAATGGGATTCACCAGGCGCGGAGCAAGAATAGGTACTAGTTAGAAGGCTTGCTGAAGCCCATGATTGGTAAATCATTGCCGAAAAAACGGGATTTCACAGAATATTTTAAACAATTGGGGTTTAAACAATGGCATACTTAATGGAATATATTTCATGGAATATTTTTTCACAATTGGGGTGTATGCAAGTGAATACTGGACTATTTTAATCGATTTAACGGAACATTGGGCTTTGAAAATTGGGACTGGAATTTCAACGAACCAACATGGCGATCTAATGGTAATGGACGATTTTACTGATGGGGAACAATTCTTGGGAGTTTTTATGATTACCCTCTGGTAAACATACAAAAAGCTATGGAAAATTGCCATAGAAATGGTTGATTTACCCATTAAACATGGTGATTTTCCATAGCTATGTGAACGTTTACCAGAGGGTATATATTTGAAGGTGATGTAACCAAGCAATTAAAATGGGTTTATGACTCATTGTTTTTTTAACAGGGTTTCACACTGGCGAAACTTCCATAGAACTGAGAAATCAGTTATCCAACATACATGGTCCTTTCTGGTTTTGTGGCTCCGTTTTTAGCCAAATCTCGCGAATGCGACCAGGAAGAGAAAAGTAAGAAAGACAAGTCCCACAAAGAGGACAAGGCTGACTCTGTGACGATGCCGTGGTCCTTCGTTTTGGTTGGAATTTCCTTGGTCGAATTTGCCAGAAACTGCCAGATCATCCGGCATGAAACCTATGGGCAGTCCGATTGATTTGTGAAGGATGCCAGACTGTTCATTTCATCAGATTATGTTCATTCAATGATTAATCTGTGTAAATTATAACGACCTCACTGCGACCTCACTGGAACTATGGTTAATAAGGGAAATGATCTCCAAATGGCCTTAATTCAGATTAGTGAATTATTATAATTTACCCAGATTAATGGGTAATCCCATTGATCTATGGGTAATCCGAAAAAATCTTGTGCTATCCCCCTTTTTCAGTCGGACAAATGTTCACGTTGCCAGCATCCTCATAGATTTATTTGCTGCCTAACCCTATACTTCTTGGCCGAATCCCACACATAATTTGGTGTTGTTATATTATCAACTGACTGATATCCCTATTAGCTATATTGATCACTGGTTGGTGGTTTGGAACATTTTTTATTTTTCCATTTCATATATGGAATGTCATAATCCCAACTGACGAAGTCATATTTTTCAGAGGGGTAGGTATACCACCAACCAGATCATCATTTTTGGTTCTCATTAAATCTCCTATGATTCGTTTTTTTTTGAACAGACGCAAACACATCATTTGTGTTTCCCAAACATGACACATTTGTGTGTTTTTTGGTACCTTTTGTGGGGTTCAATAGTTAAATCTTTGTCCTTGAATCGTCCATGTTTCTTGGTTGCCCTAGATTCAGACTGACTAGATGTAAATTTAGGTTATAGATTTAGATTCAAGTTCGCTTTAGATTAGATTCAAAATTTGATTTAGAGTAGATAAATTGGATTTAGATATACATTCGTAACATTATAAAACAGTTTGGTCAACATTTAGAATTAAATAAGATAAATTAGATAGATTACAGAGACTAGAAGTAGTACGTATATCTAATAGGTAGACTCGATAGTTAGGTAGAGAGCTAGATAGCTAGATAGCTAGATAGCTAGATAGCTTTACTGCCCATAATGATAGCATTCATTGCAAAGTTGTATGACCGGGAGGCAAATCTTGGTGCATTGGACATTGACTACTCACTCATATAGGCTAGAGCTGTTGATACAGAGGACAAAAATGAATATATATATATACATATATATATACATACATATATATATACATACATATATATATATATTGATTATAGCGTTGAATTGTTGGATATGGTTGGGTCATGTTGGGAACATTTCAATTCGTCCATTGGGATGTGGATATTTTTATCTATACGTTGAACCGCCAGAACCACAGGTGAAAGAGAAACCCGGGAAGGAAGATAGAAAGGCCTCCAAGGCCGGGGTTGCTCCATGTAGCCGTTTCGGAGACGGAACAAAAAGGGGCAAAAAGGGACCATGGCTTCATGGCTTCTTTTTTTTTGGAGGTAATAGCCACATGAAATAGCCCACTTATATATATATATTATTATTATTTTATTATTTGTCATTGTACAATCATCATTTCAACGCGTTTATATCAATTGTATATGGACTATGAAAAATCACTTCCCCATCAAAGGATTTACATTGGGATGGAAGCTGGCTCTGTTGAACTGCTTTTTCAATGCGCAAGCCCAAAAGAAGACACAGAAAAGTAAGCCATGCAAGTCAAACATCATGGTCAATGTTTAATTATGAATTTGCAAAAACAGTGATGGAAACATTTCCGCATAAGTCCACCGTTGTATAGAAAAACGTTCTACTGTACTTTCTCGGTTACTCTTAAGCAAATTTAAGTAAGTACAGTGACCGAAATCAGCTTTGCGGGGGTGAATGATCGATCAGAAGCGAAGGAAATGTATGTCTTTGGGGCACAGCTACAAAAGTTCCAGCCTTGAAAGCAGATCGGAACAAGGTCATTGTAAATGCCATCCCCTGGATCAGATTAAGTACCCTCTGGTCAACGTTTACATAACTATTGAAAATCACCACTTTTTAATAGGTCAATCCAGGTAAATCAAGTATAACTGGGCCAATGTCCATAGCTATGTGACAAATTACCAGAGGGTACTGTACATTATATCACTAAGTCTAGTTATTATTATGCATGATATCATTATATATATTATGCACTATATAATTACAATTTACAATAGTCATCCATTATGTCGACTATTTTTTTCGCCAGTCCTGGATGATATAACAGTCCATCATATGGTTGGTAGGTCGACTTACATATATCCCATGGGTCAATTTTTGATATACTATATAGTTCTGCCTATCAAACATACTATTTTTCAAATACCTTTTTTTGGATATCCATAGTTTTGGTATTTTTTACCCCTACAACTATAACAGTATAATATTAATAAAAAATAATACTCCATAGTTTTTAAGGATATCCATATATTTTTATTTTTCATATATCCATATTATCCAAAATAGTTATGGATATCCATATATTATATCCAAAAATTATATCTCCATATATTATATCCCTATATTAGGATCCATGTTTGTTACATCTTATCCCCATTTTTGGGACCCCTCCCATGGCCCGAGATCGCTCCGACGGCGCTCCGAGGCCGCCAAAGAGGCAGCAGCCAAATTGGCGGCGGCCGAGGAGGTGCGCCATGGGATGCCGGGTTTGGCGTGGGGTGTTTGCAACAACACTGAACTATATACATTGAGTATATAATATAATATATATATATATATGAACAATATAATATAATTTAATATAGTATAATATGTATAATATATATATATTATTATATAGCATAAAACGACCAACTACAGAGTTGCTCCAACCCATTATAGGTAAATGATAGCCACCTTTTGCGGGGGAAAATTGGTCAGTTGACAGTTGACCTCTATATGTACCCAATTTACCTTCCAAACGCACCTGGGGTGTTTGGAGCAATATTGGATTTGAAAGAACAGGATGAATAAATATTACATCACCACTTGTTTCGTTTAAATTGAATTTTCATTGGATAAACAGAATTTTGCACCTGAACAAATGACGGGAAATTGTGGCAATTTGTTTCATCACAAAACATGGGTTCAATATGGTTTGGTGTGATTTTATTTGGAATTTACTCAGATTTAACCACAACTCAGATAAAGCCCCGACAGCACCAAAATACGGGTTTAAGTTGTTTAACCACCAAAGATTGTGATTATAGTCCTCATAACGGTTCAATCATCAAGAATCAGGTTTTTACACCAGGAAAAAACAGGGACTGATTGATAGTTGATTCATGATGTTGTATCCCCAGCATATCCCTCGGAAAGGAGCTAGCGAAAGCCCGGGAAGAGGTGCGGTGCAAAAAAACTGGGGGAGTTACTGTACTCTTCGGTAATCAAACATGGCTGGGAAATCCACTATAAATGGACAGTAAAATTGGAAAATCAACTATCTGATTGGTGGTTTGGAACATTTTTTATGACTTTCCATATATTGGGAATTTCATCATCCCAACTGACGAACTCATATTTTTCAGAGGGGTAGGTATACCACCAACCAACTATGACTGGGTGATTTGCCAAGATTTTCCGGCCATCTTGCAAGAGGTTTAGCGCGGGTTGACATGAAGGCTGAGACATGTGACTTTCCTTGATTTAAGCAGATATCATAAAAACATGAAGTGGGAACCCCCATGTTGGTTTTTAACACAGCTCATGTCGTTTTTTCTAGGATTGGTGATGATTGGGTGGCCTAGAAACCCTCTATAAGGATCCTGGAGTAGATAGAATATGAAGTGGATGTTTTTTGGGACATAGAATATGGGATTTTCAAGCAAATTCCCATTTTAGTGAGGAGTTTTTGACATTTCATGACATTTCCATATCCTATCTACTTTACGACTTTAGGATGACTCTGTATATATATACACATATATATATATGGATATATATATATGGATATATATATATATATGGATATATATATATGGATATATATATATACATATGGATATATATGGATATATATATATGGATATATATATATATATGTAGATGCAACTATGTTTGCCACGGGTTTCCTCCGCAGCTCTTTTGCAACAGGAGGAGCCACAGGACGAGGAAGACGAGCCACAGGACGCCTTGGAGGATCATCCCAGGATAGCTATGGAAAATGACCCAGTTATAGATGATTTTTACCTATTAAACATGGGTGGATCTTTCCATAGCAAACTGTTAAAGAACCACAGGCTAATATATTATATCTATCTATCTATATATATATTATGTTGATATATGATATAATCAAATATGATATAATATGTGATTTAATATGTGATTATATACATATGATATAATATGATATAATATGATATAATATGATATAATATGATATAATATGATATAATATGATATAATATGATATGACATGATAACACATAATATGATTTAATATGCTATAATATAAAGCTCAGCTGTATAACATATATATATACCTGGATTATTACATTCCTGGGAGATCCAAGGCATCCAAGTTTTAACTTTCATCATCTCATGAGAAGAAGTGGTGAATGGGACGCTGAATTGCACCCTTTGGTGATTTATCATAGCCATGGAAAATGGTCATTTTTAATAGGTCAATCATCAAACAAACCATCTATTTCTATGGGCCATCTATACCATGGCGAACTGTTAGTCATAACCAGAGTGTATATTATGGGTATTCATGTATAGGTAATTCACCACCAAATCACCATTTATAGTGGTTAAATCCCATTAAATCCCATTAAATCACCATTAAATCCCATTAAATCACCATTAAATCACCATTAAATCACCATTAAAATCACCATTAAAATCACCATAAAATACCCTTAAATCACCATTAAAAGCACCATTAAAAATCACCATAAACATCAACCATTAAATCCCCTTAAATCACCATTAAATCACCATTACATCACCATAAATTAAATCACCTTAAAATCAACATTAAAATCACCATTAAATCCCAATAAATCACCATTAAATCACCATTAAATCACCATTAAATCACCATTAAATCACCATTAAATCACCATTAAATCACCATTAAATCACCATTAAATCACCATTAAATCACCATTTAAATCACCATAAATCACCATTAAATCACCATTAAAATCACCATTAAAACCACCATAAATGACCATTAAATCACCATTAAATCACCATTAAATCACCATTAAATCACCATTAAATCACCATAAATCACCATTAAAATCACCATTAAAATCACCATTAAAATCACCATAAATCACCATTAAATCACCATTAAATCACCATAAATCACCATTAAATCACCATTAAAATCACCATAAATCACCATTAAATCACCATTAAATCACCATTAAATCAC